CTAGACGAACACCTTGACAAACAAGGTTGGGGTAGGGACAACTAGATTGGGCAATAAGACACTTGGTTAAACTGCATTAAAAGATTGAATTCAATCGATTACTTAGTTCAACTAAAGAGCTTATATACTCATTATCTTTCTCACACTTTTTTCGATGTAGGATACTCTTTAACAGTATACATAATGTTCATACTTTTGTTACTGCATCATCTCTCACATTATTCACATCAACATCACATCAAGTTCTACTAACTTTATACCTTTCTTACTATAAGTGAGGGTGTGCATACACCAAATTGCCAATTTACTACAATGATTTTTTAAATAGATAACTTAAACTAATAATATAAAATAATTCTTAAATATACAAACAAATGTAATTTTAAAAAATAGAAACTAGAATAAAATTACCATTTGATTAGAATTTAGGAACAAAAATGCCCAAAAAGAATCAAAATAAAGCCTAAAAATTTAATTTTTTTAGAGAGAGTTAAAACTAGATTATTAAGTGATGGAGTGAGGTTTAAAATGCAAGTAAAACAAATGTTGTGTTTGAATATAAAGGTTGTGCTTATTAATTGATATTAATTGTTTAAAATATTTTATTTATCTGTATACATATACAAATAAAATGAGTGCGAAAAAATATATGTTTTGTTTGTATATAAAAGGGTAATTATTGGTTTAAAAAAGAAGAGAGATATGCAATATGATCGGTAAATAGCTAGACCTTCTTACCGATTGAGTTTGGTACCAAAGAAGTTGAGGTGGTGTTATTGGTGTTACAATCTTTACCAAAATGTTACCTATGCCAATTTTGATACTAAATTAAGTTCACTTGTTACATACTGTCTACCCTAACAAAGTCACACTTACATAGCTATATTCATATGGTTATGTTGAGATTGATTTAATAATCAAAGAGAAAAACAAAGAAAAATAAGATGAAAGAAAAGAGAGAGAGAAAGAAGGTACTTATGTACCGTACTAGTTATAATTTGTATGTAGCTTTTAGGTAAAAGAAAGAATATGCACTCTCTAATTAATACGTAGTATTTAGTTTTGAGTACTTAATTATGTAATTAATTAGTATACTTAGGCTAGCAATATATATTGTACCAAAGCCTTCATTAGTCTTAAGCAATACACCTTCTATCCCAAAAAAGGTCACAATTGGAGCATAAATTAGATTCCTGCTTAGGAAGATAACTCGCATGGGGGAAGGAGTGAAAGGATCGCTTTGGGGCTGAGATAACTATCATGCGAAAGATTTAGCAGCGCACTAGAGGAAGACAAGATGATGATAGCAAAAGAGCGAGCAAAAGAAAGGCCTTTTGAATTATATGCTCAGTAAGAGTTGAAGAATGAATATTTTCCTTGATTGATTTGGGGGAGATTGCATCAATGTATACACAATGAATGTGTATCCTAATAATGGAAGGATAGTACAAAAGGAAACCTATACAAAATTTAACTACCAATAATATAATAATAATAATAATAATAATAATAATAATAATAATATAGAATATATTTAACATGACTACGTCGGCTGTGGTGGAGGACAAATCCCAAGACTCGTACGGAAGTCAGTGAACAATGTCGATGGGAGCCCTTTGGTAAAGATATCAGCATACAGAGAAGAGGACGGTATAGTACATGAAGGACTCTGACGTGTCTGAGTGCGACCTTGTCACGTACAAAGTGGATGTCTCCCTCGACATGCTTAAATTAGTGCGTTGATGCTGGACGGGATTAGTGGAAAGGTATACCGCACTGATGATGTCGCAGAACACTAAGGTGGCACGTCGCAGGGGCTGCTGAAGTTCAAGGAGAAGATTTCAAATCCAGCTAGTCTCAGCAACAATATTGGCTACTGCTCGATATTCAATTTTAGCACGGGAGCACGAGGTCGTGGCTTGTCGTTTAGAGGACCAAAAGAAAAGATTGTCCCTAAGAAAAACACAATAACTGGATGTAGACCGACGAGTGTGTGGGCATCTAGCCCAGTCTGCATCGGAATAGGCCTGTAGAGAGTAGTGCCGCGGAGGTAGCGTAGAACACGCTTTGTGGCAGTGAGATGCAGGTCCTGTGGAACATGAAAATGAAGACAGAGTTGCTGAATGAACTAGGTGATATCCACTTGACAACTATGGTGGTGGCTGTAATTCCCCCCTCCAGGCCATGTCAAGGATCCTTGCATGAATCTGTTATTTCCATATATGTGAAAATATATGCATATATGATGCATTGAACTGTTGGCATATTTTTGATTTTAAGTGTGCATGCATATTTTCCTCTATGCCACAACCACTCTATGCCTATCAAGTATTTTTTAAAATAGAAGAGCTAAAGGATTCAGAATAAGTAGGAACAAGACTGAATACATGGAATGTCATTTCAGTGGTCGGGATACAGAATCAGAGGTGGAAGTCAAGATTGACTCTCACCTAGTACCTAAGGTAGATAGGTTTCGTTATCTTGGCTAGGTAAAAGTCCGCCTACCCCTCAATCTACGCCTACAACCTGTAGCCCAACCTCACCGAACCCGGTTTACCGCCAATCGAAGTCCCCACAACACACTAGGCTTCTAAAGCGGATCTTACTTTCCATTCAAGATAGCTAGGCATCAGTCTGGACGATACAATATACCCCGTCTCACAACCCGCCAATTCTTCTGAGTACACCGTCGCCTGCATGCGACGGAGATGCGGATGTTACGATGGATGTGCGGGAAGACAAGGTTGGATAGGATTTTGAATGAGGTTATCCGACGTCAAGTAGGTATGGCACCGGTGGAAGACAAGTTGCAGGAAGCGAGGTTGAGGTGGCTTGGCCATGTGAGACGGCGGGATGCTGGCGCCCCTGTACGAAGATGCGAGAGGATTACGGTTATCGAGGGAAGTAGGGGAAGGGGTAGACCTAAGAAGAATTGGGAGGAGGTGATAAGACAGGATTTAGGACTTCTCGACCTGACTGAGGATATGGCCCTAGATAGGAACCTTTGGAGAACTAGGATTAGAGTAGCTGGATAGGAGTTCGGTGTTGTAGAGGTTGTTTTGTAGTGTGTTGTATTTGTTGGGAATCTTTTGCTATTGTTTGTACTTGTTGCTTGTACTTGGTGCCTTATCTGTGCCATACTGTGTTCTCTTCCATATTTTTGTGCAGGTGGAGCCGGGGGTCTCTTGGAAACAGCCTCCCTACTTCCGAGTAGGGGCAATGTCTGCGTACACACACCCTCCCCAGACCTTACTATCGTGGGATTCAACTGGGTTGTTGTTGTTTTGTTTTGTTGTAACACTCATATAACTCCGGAAGGATCTCATCTCTCTTCTTACACCATATTCTGACTATAAAATTATTACGAGTATAGATGGTCATGTTCCTATTGCTTGGTAACCTTCTCTTCGCCTCTTCACTTAAATCTCACCTACTTTAAGTTAACCATATTACCAAAGATAAAAATTGTACTCTGTTTTGCTAATTCCACTAAATTTCACAACCTGGACAACAACGCCCACATGGTGAGATGCAAAGACTTTTGTGAGCAAAGACTTTACATATTGCTTCCAATTGTCAAGGCTAAGTGTCTCTTAATTTTTCTAACTTTGTGTGATAGACAGCTCTCAAGACCGACATTGTCAGATAGGACATCCTTCCTTAAAAGTTACAAAATGTTCATGCTTGTTCTATTTTAATTCTCAAACATTGCCATTCTCATTACATTAGGATGAGTTATTTTTCCATTTCAATTAATTTATTCTAATACTTGGAGGCGTACATCTATCCCTTTCCATTCTCATCTTAAAAAATAAGGGCATGCATGTTACTTGTAGAATGCATTAGTACATCATTTTGTACGCAAAAACGTTGCACTAGCAAAAAATATACAAACTTTTGGCCTACAAAATATTGTACACGTAGAATTTTTGTTAAAAATATTAAAAAGCATGCTCTGAAATTAATGACTAATTGGTGTCTATTCCGCTCAACTTATTTTTTCAACTTATAAGTTATTCATACTAAAATTAAATTAGACCAGGTGAGATCTAATAAGATCACATGGGATCCAATTAGTAAAATAGATCAGATCATATTAGATTCAATAAAATCAGATCAGATACAATTTTTTAGATTAAATGATACAAATTCAAAAAAAAACTTAAAAAACACTGTTAATTATTATAGAATAATCAATATAAGATTAATTTACCTTACATTACTTAATCTTGCATATAATTTGCTAATAATTACTTTATATTATTATAATGTTACTTACACTTAACTAATGATAACATTGTTACATGTGATTAAAAATACTTATTATTATTACTATTATTTAATTAATTATAATACTCTGTCTGTTACTAAATTATTGTCTCTTTTGAAAAAAATGCAAAATTCTATCTTTTTTAAAATAATTTTATTTATAAAAAGTTTAGAAATAAAGAGTACAACTTATATATTTAAAAACTAATCCAAAAATCTACAAAACAAATAATGGTATATCTAGTTATCTTATCAAATAATTCATAAAAACACATATGCAAAACAATTATCTGAAACTTGTAATAGTTTACATGCTAATATTTTAAATATGGAAGGTGCAAGAATTTTAAAAAAAATAATAATACTCTCCCGGTCCTATAAAAAATATTTATTAATTTTTACAAAAATTTTAAAAAATTGAAAATGATAAAAATATTAAAATATAAGTGATTGATATTCTTATAAAACAATAATACTAATAAATTTATTATAATAATTTTAATTTTTTTTGAATCAAATTAGATAAGATCTATTCAAATCAAATCATACCTAATCAAATAAAGTCTAATAAAATTAGACTAGATCTTTCAAAAAAAATTAGACTACACTTCCAAAAAATTCAAGTCGGTCATGTTCTCTTTATTTTTTTTATTTATTATTTATTTTTATTAAAATCAAATTATATAAGATCAAAAATAATTTTAAATATTATTATATCCTCTTAGATTAGACTAATGAGATGAGTTGAAAAGAATGCGGCCTAATCCACCGAACCAATCATGATAACCAAGTTTGCATCCCCTCATCTCCTACTTCTTGTATTGAAGTCTGAGCCTCGAACCAATTGAACCAAACAGGCCCTGATCTCAGGTGAAAACTTCACCCGTCGTCCACCCTGCTTCCGACGACGCGGCGATGGATGGCGGCTCGAAGGCTACCGGCGACGCCCTCGATCGAGATATCTCGGCGGCGTCCATTCCACTTCCCCCTTCTTCGCTCGGTAAATCACTAAATCATACTCCGTATAGGACATGTGCCGATCCGTAATCTGATAATCTGGATTCGTCAAATATTTACCTTCTCGGATTTTGATTTTTGGGCCTAGTCCGTTTGTTATTTTTGAAAACTGCCAGCAAAAATTGAAAACCATTTTTTCTACCCAATAGTTAAAAAAATCCTTCCTCTCTTAATATCTTTTGTCCACTACTCTGTAGAAAAATGGTTTTCAATTTTTTCCTGCAGATTTCAAAGTTGATTAGCATAAGAAGACTATTCTAGAAGTAGTTGTACAAATCATATCATATAGTCCCATGGTTGGATGAGTGAAAAGAAATAAAATAATGTGAACTTTTTGTTTCAATATTTCATGTTTTTCTTGGAAGAAAAATGGTTTGGAAAGAAACAGGATAAAGCAATTTTAATGTGGTATATGCTATGGAGTATCTAATATTTTATCACACAGGTGACAGGTCAGCCAAAAACATGGTCTGTAATGTACATTTATCTTACAAATGGTTTTTTGAAACAAACATTTCCTCAGCTGAATATATTTGTCCAAGAAGGTGTACACTTTTGTTTTGAGGAAGGAGTTGTGCAGTTCACACTATTTCTCTTTTCTGCACAAAGCTCAACTACACACTATCACCTTATTTAGTAATCGTGCTCGGTCAATTGTGAAACCTTATTTCACTACGGATGGAGTAGTAATAATTGTAGGACCTTAGGCGCTACCAACTCTTCTAAAACCAATTGGTGTTAGAAGAAGCGCCAACCCTAGCCTTATAGTGCATTCATCACACACAAGCACTCACGACTTTCGATTGTGACATGACCCACATAGCACACTTGGCCAACATTCCCAACAATAATATGAGGAATGTCTAATGCTTTTACATTGGAGTTTGTGCAATTTTATTTATGATGAAATCTTATGAAGAGCAGTGGTAGGTCGTGATGAGATGTCAAAAGGAGACAAACTGGTCTTAAGAGGTTTAAAATTCCATGGGTTCCATGGAGTTAAGGCTGAAGAAAGGGCTTTAGGCCAGAAGTTTGTAGTTGATATGGATGTCTGGATGGACCTCCGAGCAGCCGGTAAATCTGACCGGTTGTCGGATACACTCAGCTACACGGATATTTACCGGTGAGTCATCTGTCTTTTCTATCTTTATGTTTTCATTGTTACTTCAGCTTGAGGTAGCTGTAGTAATAATCACATAAAAATGATGTAAATGGATGAAAAGTTCAGTTGATTTCCACTTTCGCTAGGGTAACTAGGAGAACAGAACAGATGAAACCATTGAAAAAGGACTTGGGCAGTTACTTGTAGTTTTTCACAATTAAGCTGCTTTTGGCATGCCATAAACACTCTATTAGCTTATGAATGTTGTTACAAGGGCGTCCAGTATAAAACTTATCTTTTCTTATCGTTTTTGTGTTTAAGCTAGCTTATTAGCCACTACTGAATGCCAATATTGAAATTGGCTAAGTCTCTCCACCAAAATTTAGTTGTCTACTTTCTAAAATGTCTCATTTTTAAGGAATGCGTTTAAAATTTATAATGTCCTTGAAATGATAATGTCATTCATTTATGTAAACAATGCATGTATTCTATCTCTAGTTTAGATTATTAATCATATCTTTTTTATTAAATGTGAAAAGTAGACAACTAATTCTGAACAAACAAAAATGAGAAAGTGGACAATTAAATTTGGGCGAAAGAAGTAGATTATAAGTTATTCACTCATAATGTTGTCTTTCTGAGTAACTCAAGTTGTTACTCTCTCTCTCTCTTCCAAATCACTTTTCCCTCTTCACGGGGATCAAGAAAAAAGTTTTAAAAAAATGTTTCCAAGTAAAAAGCGTGTGATCCGAATTTGTCTAGACAGAGAGATACATTTTGGACCATATATATTTTTTCCCAAAAAGAGAAGGAGAAAGTGTGAATTATTTTGGGATGGATGAATAAGAAAGTGTAAAAACATTTTGTGGAACGGAGGGAGTATATATCTTCTTTATTGTTCTTTCTTGCTTAAAACGTACTCCCTTCTAAATAATACCCCCTCCATTCTTTATTAATTATCTATTAAGACTTTCATGATGCATAAAAAAAAGAATGAATTTAGACATAAAGTATGTTTACATTCATTCATTTTTCAATGTATTAGTCATATTAGACAGTTAATAAAGAATGGAGGGAGTAGTTCTTTTTTCCGCGTTATAGCATCTGTTTTTTAAATGATCATTTCTCAACCTGTGGATTTGGCAGCATAGTGAAAGAGGTTGTGGAGGGATCAGCACACAATCTTCTTGAATCTGTGGCAGAACACATATCATCTGCAACCCTCACCAGATATGCTCAGGTCAGCGCAGTGCGTATTCAGGTCGGGAAGCCGCATGTTGCAGTCCAAGGCTCGCTTGACTACTTGGGCGTTGAGATCGTTCGCTATAGAGGTAACACTAACACATAGACTTGTGAAGTCCCAATTTTTATGTACATTCGCGTTCTCGATCTCGTCCTTTATCATTTCGCCACACCAATCCATTGTCTGTTGTTTTAGCACTTCCTTTCGCCCCGTTTATGTGTGGTTTACTTTCTTGAAACTTGTGTAATTAGTCTATGCACTCTAAGACTGATACACCCTCATTAGATTTATTTTAACATGTACTCCGCCTGTATTTTTAAATTATCGTGGTTTTTGCGGAGTAATTTTATTATGTGTAAATATAGAGGAGGGGTAATAATACATCAAATATTTGATATAAGATTTATTTTAACATGTACTCCACAAAATCAAGGGTACTCAAAAGTAATTTCATATATTTCAGGGGTATATATTCTTTCCAAGGCGGTCCGGGTTGGTGGGATCTAGGAGATTGACTATAATGGAGTTATGAATCATGGTCCGGTACTTTTTTTGAGTAAATTTTATAAAGGGTCTCCATTCGGTTTACATATTTAGTTTCTATATATTAAATATTTACAATTTGAGTAAATTCTATAAAAAGTCCTTACTTATAGGTCGTTTTACATATTTAGTCCCTACATATCAAATATTACTAATTTAGTCCCCAATTATTAATTTTTTTTACGAATGGTCCTTTGTTAACGTTTTTGTTAAGAACATGAATAAAAATGTATATTCATATTTCTCTCTCTCTTCAATTAAGCTTTCTCTCTCCTCTCGTACTCTTTACTAAACTTTTCGCTGAGTTTGAAGCTCTAAACCCAAAACTGAATTATTATTCTTGGTGGAACCTAAAATCAAAACCAATAAGGTTTATGGATGAGTTTTACTCCCTCCGTCCCCCAGTTTTTGTCCACTTTCATTTTTGTACATCATCCAATGCACACTCTTTAATCCATTTTATCTTGTAATTTGTATATAAAAAAATTATAGAAATTGTATATTAATAATCTATATGTTAAGACAAATCAAACAAGATCACACATATATTTAGGCTTACACATTGAGAAAAATTTGATGAGTCAAAGTGCTTAAATGAATAGTTCCAAAAGTCAAAAGTGGACAAAAACTGGGGGACGGAGGGAGTATCAGTTAGTTTCAAGAAATTGCAAAAGAAATAAACATTAAAACTCATCCATGAAGGTTATTGGTTTCGAATTTGGATTCCACCAGTTCGACAAACAATTGAGAGAAGAGTGATTATTTTAGTTTTGGGTTCAAAGCTTCAAACTCAGCGATGGGTTTGAGAAATGAGTGCGGGGGAAGGAGGAAGTTTAATTGAGGAGAGAAGGGAGTGTGAATTTTCAATTTTATCCACGTTCTTAACAGAAATGTTAACAAAGAACCATTCGTAGAAATAAATATAATAATTGGGGACTAAATTAGTAATATTTGATATGTAGGGACTAAATATGTAAAACGACCTATAACTGGGGATTTTTTATGGAATTTACTCTTATAATTTAGTCCTTAATTATTATATTGTTATCCACAAACAATCCTTTATTAACATTTTCATTAAGAACTTGGATAAAATTGTATATATTCACAAATCACACTCCCCTCTCTTCTATTAAGTCTCCTCCCTCCTTTCGTACTCACTCCCAAATCTATCGCTGAGTTTAAAGATCTAAACCCAAAATTTAAACGATCACTCATCTCTCAATTGTTCATCTTCCTGTTGGAACTCAAAATAAGAATCAATAATCTTCATAGATGAGTTTTATGAGTTATTCTCAGTAAATTGCAAAGAAAACAAATCTTAAAATTCATCCATGAAGATTAGTGATTTCGATTTTAGGTTCCACTAGGAAGACGAACAATTGAGAGAGGAGTAATGATTTTGATTTTGGGTGCAAAACTTCAAACTCAACGACGGGTTTGAGAAAGGAGTGCGAGAAGAGGCAGAAAACTTAACTGAGGAGAGAGAGGGGCGTGAATTCACAATTTTGTCCACGTTTTTAACAAAAATGTTAAAAAAGAATCATTCATGGAAAACAATATAATAATTGGGACTAAATTATTGATATTTGATATGTAGGGACTAAATATGTAAAATAAACTATAACTGGGAACCTTTTATGAAATTTACCTTTTGGATAAAATTGTAAATTCACACTCTTCAAACTCAGTGACGGGTTTGGGAAAGGAGTGCGAGGGGAGGGAAGAAGCCTAATCAGGCAGAGAAAGAAGTGAATTTATAATTTTATCCACATTCTTAACGGAAATGTACGTTAACAAAGGACCATTTGTGGAAATGAATATAATAATTGGGACTAAATTAGTAATACTTGATATGTAGAGACTAAATATGTAAAACGATCTATAACTGGGGACCTTTTATGCAATTTTACTCTTGATAAAATTATACTTTATATTTAAAGAAATCTTCCTCGATAGGATAAAAAGTATGAAAATACTAAAATAGGAGTTATAAGTTTTTTAAAACCAACATTGAAGTATAATGACAGTGTAATATAAGAATACACGTTGGCAGTGTGATTAAAAAGTGATGACAGTGTAATATGTCAGTGTGATCAATTAATGATCGACAATCTGCAACGGTACTCGAGTAGCCAGCGGCGACGGATGGCAGTGTAGCGATGATAGTGTAACAGTTACAATGTGAGAATGTGCAGTGGTGTGTGTGACAATGACACATATCTTGTTTTGTAGAGCTTTCGATGTAATTTGTTGATATGTGAAATTTATTTTTTAATTGAGAAAAAGACTAAAGTAGAAGTAAAATATTCAAATACACAAAAATAGAAATTCCATATTTTTATTTCCAAAATAGGAGTTAAAATGCATTTACATTATCAATCATGATCATGTACATTACGTAAAATGTACATGTACAGTGCCACATTACTATAATGCGAACTTCTATTTAGAAAATAAAAACATGAAACTCTTATTTTGACATTTTTACGGAGTATATGTTTTATTTCTATTTAGAATGATTTCTTTTTATAATTATGCCTAATTCTCTGCTAAATTGTATATTAAAAATAGTTTCAGTCAAATATCGCAAACTAAATAGACAATTTAAATTAAGACGGAAAGAATAAACAATGTGGTAAAATATTTTTGTGATTTGAATTGAAATAGAAACTACAAATCCCAATTACTCCTTCCGTCCTAAAATTAACTTCTCATTTGACTTTTCACGGTCTCCAATGCGGCACTTTGACCATTAATATATGCATTTTTATATGAATATATATTATCAAAATAATATATTTCAAAACTATGTTTCAAAATGAATCTATAGATACTAAATTTATATGAAAATTCAATATATTTTTTCCGTAATATGCAGTCAAAGTTTAAAAATTTTAACTGTGAAAATCAAAATAAAAAATTAATTTTAGGACGAAGGGAGTATCTCATTTCGAATAGAGTGTTGAAGAAAGAGCATTTTGGATGGGCAGCACAAGTAGCAATCGTTTCCCGCGACGCAAAAGCCAAGCGGCACACGCGCAAGCACACGCACACCATCACATCCCAAATGTCCACGTCACTAATCTTGGCGCATCGTGTCGCTAAATTCCAACGTGGCACCGAAGAACGTGCGAGGCCAGTTCTCCCCTCCCGCTCAACACGTGTCACCATTTGCAATTCCCCAACTCCCAATTTTTAAAAAGCCCACCCCAACAAGTATCAACAAGCTATATCTACTTGTTTAATTTCATCATCTTCAACTATATCCCAAAAGAGAAAAAAAACTCATGAAGAAGAAGAAGAAAGAGCTTCTCCATCCTCAACAATGGCAGGTCATCGTCCTCGTCGCGAACCATCTCGATCCGACGACACTAGCTCTCGCCTCCTGCGTCTCAAAGCTATGGTTCCTCGCCATGTCCTCCGATCATCTCTGGCAACCCATCGTCGCCTCCACTTACCCTTCTCTCCCCGCCCTCCGCCTCGCGGACCCCGCCCTCCCTTACCGGAGGCTCTACGCCCTCGGGCGCGCCTCCGATAAGCGGAGCTTCCAGAAGAAGCGGCAGCAGCCGCCGCTTCTCTGCATGTCCGACCTCATCTTCTCCGTCACCGTCTCCCTCGCTGGCTCCCCGGTCGCCGCCTTTGCCAAGTCCGGAAGCGAGCTCAGGGGCATCAACGAAGACACGGTTTTCCTGTTCGACGTCGACGTCCCCGGCGGAGGCGGGGGAGTGGCGGACATGGAGGAGGGGTTACGTGGGGACAGCTTGAGGGTCACGTGGGAGGCAGTGTTGGAGGGGTACACGTGTAAATTCACAATGCTAGAGTGGCGGGGAGGGGGAGGGCGGCGGCACTTTGCCGTGTCGGGGACGGAAGTGTTATACTCGGAGGAGCTTCCGGCGCCGGGGTGCTGTGCCGCCGCCAGCGGACTGGCGGCGGATGTGAGGGTGGGGTGGAAAGAGAAGAGTTGTGGGAGAGTAGTGGTGGAGAAGATTAGGTTAGGGGTGATGAGTGTGGTGAGTTGGAGGTATGTTCAAGTGGTTGATGCTCTTAGATACTTGCAGCACTTTCTTTTGGATTAGCAATTAAATTAATGAGATCTCCTTGTATACATTTGAACCACCCCAGCATTGTTTTAAATATATGGTCTATATTTGTGATTCATTAAGTACTTTACACTCATCTGTGTGCTAAAAAAACAGCAATTTATCCCACAAATATTTGGCCAATTTCTACCAACTTTTTTGTATTTTGTATCTTAAGAACAACTAAAATAATAAAGAGACTTTATTTTGATACAGTGGGGAAATACCAATTTTGTCATCATAAATAAGACAGAAAGCAAGTGGTACATAAACAAGGTCACACCATAGAAATTAGGTGTTGTGGTCCAAGACAGGCAAACAGGCAGCTATAATGTCAGCAGCAATCTCCAATTCTTCCTCGGAGATGACCAGAGGCGGCACTAGCCTCACCACATTCCCTTTCCCGGCGGTCAAAACCAGCAGGCCCGACCGCCGGCACGCCTCCACGAATGGCCCTGCCTTCACGTCGAGTTCTATGCCGACGATCAGACCCGATCCCCTCACCTCCTTCACATGCATGTTCCCTGCCACCTTCTTCCCCAGCAACTCCTTGAAATGCCGTCCTTTTTGGGAAACGCTAGACAGGAATTCCGGTTTCGAAATCTTGTCGAGGACCGCAACCGCAGCGTTGCAGATCAGGGGCCCACCTGCAAATGTGCTGCCGTGATCTCCGTAGTTTATGGCAGCGGCAACCTTTTCCGTCACCAGCACGGCTCCGATAGGCAGGCCTCCCGCTAGCGGCTTGGCTAGTGTCATTATATCTGGGTATATGCCATACGGTTCGTGAGCCCATAGATAACCGGTTCGTCCCAAGCCACATTGAATCTGGAAATCAGGACACGTCCAACCACAAACTTGAACTTTTAACTTAAAGTTCCTTCAAGTAGAGCCATATTAAAAAAACCATTTTAAGCATGTTTGGAAGCCTGATTCGGCTTATTATTCTTAGCTTATTATTCTTATCAGAAGAATCTTGACCCTAAAGTCCATGCTCATTTTATGAACTTTAGTATATTTGTAGCCTGAAAGAAAAAGGCCTTTTTCAAACTAGAAAATATCTACATGAAAACCCATGAAAATGATAGAAGGTCCACATTTTAAATGTGAACATTGGGACCATGTAAGCACCACTCTTCCAATTGAGGTAGCTATAGTGCACAGATCTTAAAATTGATAGTTCTTACCCCTAATCCCGGTAAGCCCCACCCCGGCTCGACCTAAAGCCACACTCTACAAATCTAATTGACTTTGGAGTAAAAAACTAAGTTGGTCAATTGACATAACTTTCAAATCCATACCTCATCAAACACAAGAAGCGAGCCAGCCTTATCACAAGAAGCACGAAGGGCTCGTAAAAACTCTTTGGCAGCACTGTATATGCCCCCTTCACCCTGGACCGGCTCCACAAAGACCGCGGCGATTCTCCCACTCTCAATCAGCTCCGTCGCCTCCTCAACATTGCCGTATTTTAAGAAAGTGACTCCGGGCATGACAGGCTCAAATGGAGCTCTGTATTGCTCTTTGCTCGTCAGGGCAACCGCGCCCATGGTCCTCCCATGGAAGCAATTGGAGAAGGCAATGAACTCCAAGGGAGGGTTGTCCGGGCGCGAAAACCTCTGGAACTTCCTCGCAAACTTGATTGCGGCTTCGTTCGCTTCGGTTCCGGAATTCGAGAAGAAAACACGGTCAGCGAAGGAGCAGCTGACCAGACGTTTTGCCAGTTCTACCTGCACCACCAATTTAGCACTCCCTTATTTGCTTGGAGGGATGATCAAGCACTAGTATTATGTGTGGGATAGATTATACTCTCTAACTGTTCCAAAAATAAGGTTCACTTCAGTTCATTATTCACATGATTGAACTATAATGTTTTTGTACACATTTTTATGGGTCGTACGATCAAATAAAATAAGCGAATTTTTTTAAGAACTTTTGAATATATAAAATTTATTTTTAAATCCGGCACTGTTTTTCAAATATATTGAATCCAAAAATTATTTTAGTCAAATATCCTAATCTAAAACTAAAATCCTATTTTGGAATGGAGAGAGTAGGATAGGACACAAGTATATAAAGGTTACTTGCTAGTTATTCTTAATGGCATCAGACCAGATCAGTAACAACTTTAATTATAACTACAATCAGATCAAATTAAAACTTAATCAAATCAGATTAAAACCAATTACATAAGTTGATTAGTGTTTAACACTTAACAGCATACTATTCTTTATGCTTGAGTCTTCTTCATCATCATTTTATCACACATAAAATTGCAGTAACTATTCAGAAATTTCACAGTTTTGATTCATATGACACATGAAAATGAAAGAGCCAACCAAATGTTTACCTGCGGAAGTGAATGATACATATTGCTGACGTGGGTGAGTGTGGCAATCTGGTCGGAAACCGCCCGGACAAAGTCCGGATCGCCGTGGCCAAGGGCATTGACGGCGATCCCGGAGGTGAGATCCAAGTACTCCCGCCCATCAACATCCGTCAATTTACACCCTTTGCCACTGGCCAGTACCAGCGGAGCTCTGTCATAAGTCCCCACAAGGTACTTCGCAGACTCGGCCATCACCTCTCCGCTCCGTTCTCCGCCGCCGGATTCATCCGATTTGGGCGGCTTCCCGCTGAGGCACACCGCGACTTTTTCGCCGGCGTTGCGCGGCGGGATCGGGAAATTCCGGCTTCGGTGGAGGAAATTGGCTGGGCTGCGGCGGCTGTGGGCTGCCGGTGAGAGCGGACAGCGGTTGGGGGACATTAAGTTGGCGGAAGAGCTCATCTTTGATCGAAGACCACCAAACCGATTTTGGGATGGAAATCGGCGGAGCAGATGGAATTGACGGCGGAGTTGGAATATGCGGTCTTGGTTAATTCTTTCCAAGGCGGGCGGGGTTAGTAGGATCCAGGAGATTGACTATAATGGAGTTATGAATCACACATAAGGAAAGGAAAAAGACAAAATAGAACATTAAAAATATACTAAAATATGATTTATATATTTTTATTTTTGAAATTAGAGTTAAAATACATTTTCATTACAGCATTATCAATCATTACCATGTACATTACGTAAAATGTACATGTATAGTGTTACATTACTATAATGCGAACTTCTATTTATATAATAAAAATATAGAACTATTATTTTAGTATTTTTTTCTTTGTTTTATTCCTATTTAGATAATTTCTTAAGATGAAATTGTATAAAATTGTATAGTTACTAAACTATTAAGATATAGTTGGGGTAGCATATGCATTTTCTAATTTTTTTTCTTCAAGTATCCCAATTTCCAATTTTCTTCAGGTATCCCCTAGCATTTTTCTTTCTCGGTATAATTATAAGGAAACATGATCTTTTAAAAATAATATTTCCATTATAAATTGGGTCTTTACTGGCCCTTTTTACAAATAAAAATAGAAAAATGCTAGGGGTACACGAAAGGTGTACCCCATATGTCCCTCACCCTCTCCTTGTCCACATAAATTGACATGAAATTCAAAAAAATAAAAATTAAATAAAAGTAAGTGGTGGAGAAGAGGGTGATGTACATTTGGGGTACACTTTTACACTATGTTTGGTTCAAGGAATTTGAATGAGAAAAGAAAAGAAAATGAAGTGGAAAACATTTTTCCTTGTTTGGTTAGAGGGGAAGAGAAAGGAAAAGTGGAAGGAAAAGAAAATGAGAAAACAAAATATACCAAGGAGAGAGAAAACCAAATTCCTCCCATTTTGGTGAGGAAAATGAGAGAAAACCATTTTCTTTATTTTTCCTTCCAAATTCCTTGAACCAAACATAGTGTTAGTGTATGTATCCCTAGCATTGCTCATAAAAATACTGTCAAACTTTGACATAAATAAAGAAATAAGTGTTAAAAGCTACCCGTAGTAGTTTGTAATACTATATTTTCATATATAATATACTTGGTACAAAAGCTACTCGGAGTATAAGATATTAAAATGAAGAAATAACAAAAATAATATACTTGGTACATAATTACATACTCCTTCCGTCTCGGAAAACATGGGAGTTTTGGTTTTGGACAAGGATTTAAGAAGAGTGTATTTTGGTATTGAATTTCCAAAAATGTCATTTGATGTAATGGGTAAAAGGATGATTTGATGGATAAATTATTAGTAAAAAGGTATGATGTGATAGGTAGGGTATGAAAAAGTAAGGGGTAAAAGTGACTTTTTAATAGAAATGAGAAGTGTTTTTTAAGACGGATGTAAAAAGAAAGGAGAAAGGTTTTCTGGGACGGAGGGAGTATTTGTTTAAAATATGTTAAATGTCGTGATTTTCATGAATTCATATACCTTCGTCTTTAACACTTTGAATTGGAATGTAGTTTTATTTATTTTGATATTCTTATTAATGATTGGTATTAATCATATAAATATTTGTTTTAATTATAATATGTAAAATATAAAATATTTTTGAAATAAAAGTTGTAGTCTTAATAATGATGCACATATAATAAATTAAAATTAAAAATGGTATTAAAACTTAGTGAGTAAAAGGGGAAAATATTATAAATCTTATTTTTTTTGAAATATGACTTATATAACCTTCTTTTTTAAAAAAATACAACTATTATGTACATTATAAAATTTAAATGTTGAAATACATATCTATACAGTAATACTTAGAAAATGAGAAGTTCTACACAAAATTAATAGTTATTGAATGAATAATAATGAATGTATTGTAATTCATAAAATAAATTAAACAAATATGTCCTTAATTCTTAACTATAATATTTGAGAGTCAGTCACTTCGTACGAAATGTCTATTTACCACTTTTTTGAGAAGTCAGATGTTTCTAATTATTTTAAATATTTATTTGTAATATGGTGAAGGTGCATGCGGGTGTTGAAGCCAACATGAGAAATTGATAGGTAGAGTTAAATTTTTTTTTATAAAGTATTTTTATCTCAACCAAACAACGAGCTCTAATAGTTAGAATGCAAAATAATAACACTTAACAAATTGAAGAAAAAAAAAGTTATAGAGTGAAACAAAATTTTGTTCAATCTCGTGTGACGCATGAGTTAAAATACTAATTTTAAAAAATATACTCCCTCCGTTCCAAAAAGTCTTTCCTGTTTCATTTTTTGCGCATCCCGTAAAACACTTCTATCCCGTCTGAATGCCAAAAAAACTTTCAAAATAACTTCTACACACAATAAAGAAGAAATGTTGTAAATTTTAGGCATTTTAGATGTCGGTAGAAGTGTTTTATGGAATGCGCAAAAAATGAAACAGGAAAGACTTTTTGGGACGGAGGGAATAAGATATAAAAAAATCAAGAGTATATACTACTTCTTTCATCTTGGAATATTTGTCCACTTTTAATTTTTTTCGATCAAAATTGACAAATTTTGATCCTAAATTAAATAAAAATGAAATTGTACATTGATACAAATAATTCGCCTCTTTTTCGAACTGTTCTGCATGGAGATAGATATATGTAGAAATAATTCTCTGATACATATATAGTAAAACTGTAATGTGAAATTAACCAGCAGGAATTAAAGTGGAATATTTATTCAATTTCCACATATTCTCCAGTTTGAACTTTGTACGAGCAAAAAAACTCCAACTAACCACAATGGCTATACTCAGACGCACCATTTTTTCTTCTTCTACTCCTTCCTCTTTTTCCTTATTTCAGAAATCACCAAACACAAATCTTTCCAACGTTATTCATCTCCTCACTTTGATGTCTCTATCCCTAGCGGCCTATGCATTCATCTTGCAATGGCGGGGCGGGTTGCACGACCCGTTTACCCGCCTTTCTTCCGGCGACCGGGAGTTTTCGGGGTCGGGCCTTTTCCGGCCAGCGACGCCACTCTCAAGGGTTGAAGGAATATTGGGTAAGAGTCAGAAATCTTTGTTCCCGTACTTCAGAGATTGGAAAATCAAGTTTGCTTCGTCCCCGGCAGATGATCGTCTCGGGCCCAAGGTTTATTCGGCTTTTTTTTCACGTGTGTCATTTTTAATGGTCAAAGTATTATATTGAAAACTATAAAAAGGGTAAAAGGTTTATGAGAGATACAATCATACATGCATTATCGATCTAGAGAATAAATAAAGAAAATATTATTACTCTTTCAGTCCCAGAAAACATTTTTCCTTTCTTTTTTCATCCGTCCCAAAAAACACTTCTCATTTCTATTAAAAAATCACTTTTACCCCTTACTTTTTCATACTCTACCTATCACATCATACCTTTTTATTAATAATCTATCCATCAAATCATACTTTTACTTATCACATCAAAGGACATTTTTGGAAATTCAATACCAAAATACACTCCCCTTAAATCCCTCTCCAAAACCAAAACTCCCATGTTTTCCGGGACGGAGTGAGTATTACTGAATTTGTTGAATGGTATGGTATGATACGATAGATATGCATAACAACAAGTACGTCAGCGGGGTTCGAGCAAACTCTACCGTGGATCTTTTATCACAAGGTCATTGGCATTTCAACGTTTTTCGTGTTTGTGGATGGTGAAGCCGCTGCATCTCCCATTGTTTCCAAAGTCCTTAAATCCATCCCTGTAAGTACCTGGTGTACGTGACACTATTTGTTAGAGTCTATCTTACATCGAAAGTTGAATAGAAAAGCAATCGATATATATAAGCTCTTGAGTTGAACTAAGTAATCGATTGGATTCAATCTTTTATTATGGTTCAACTCAAGTGTATTATTATCCAATTCAGTTATTCTTATCTCATCCGAAATTCTATCACTATTAGCTCTTACTAGATTCATACACGTGCGTTGTACGACTAAAGATTTATTTTAAAATATAGAATATGAAAAATACATAATAACATAAATGTCGATTTTCAAAATTAAGTTTAGACTTAAATATACGTATATAAAAATCATTGGATTGATTAAAAGAAATTGGAGCCACGACCCCCGAACCCCTGTACTATTCTTAGTTACGTTCTCCCATTGTTCCGTCTTTTGATCGCTAATTTTCTACAGTTGTATCGTGATTGTGTGTGTTGTTTCGGCATGCATTTATCCCTAACATGTAGGGAGTGTCAAATTGTTTGAAGTCTTCGCCCCAACTATGAATTTGTTCCTTATTATTGTAGGGAGTGACGGTCATCAATAGAACAAGAGAAGTGGTGGAGGAACAAGGAAAAAGGTTCGGTTCTAAATCTTTTATAATATCTTTGCATCCGTATATGATTCTAAGACAAAATAAATAAACGCCATCAATAATTGAGGTGGAATTGCACTGAATAGAACTAAAACATGAGTCATTTTCCAATTTAGGATTTAAATTTTTTATATTTTAAATAGGATTTGATAATGACTAGTGAGAAGAATAATGTCCAAGTGATACTGGACATTTAGTTGAATAATGACTAATAGAATTGAAAAATAAAAACACATGGTCATATATTGAGAAAGTCATTATATTTTAGTCTTATACCCATAATTGAGATTTCGGCTAAATATGATCGATCAGACGATCACTATTGACAAACTGTGAGTGGAGAAACTCACGGTTCCTAAGATCCACCATAGTTGAGGAATTGAAGAACACCAACAACCCAAAATCAATTGTGTTTGACCAAACAATTGATGAGAAATGGCAATTGGAAATCAACATCCTAGGGTACACTACGAAGTGTACCCAAAGAAATGTACTGACATTTTAACGGTTCACACTGTCATAAAATGTTAGTTCAGTTAAAAAAATTGTATTAAGATATTTTTGTGAATGTAAGCCAGCACACTAACATCACACTGGCACAAAATGTTGGTACATGTCTTTATGATATAAAATGAGATACAAATTTTGATGTACAAATAGCTTAATCTAATGGAAATTGAGACCGGCGACGGCTAGGGTAGCCCAACTTCACTCAA